TACACTTTACCATCTACTCCGGTGTCGTCGAATCCGCGTGTGTCCCGAGATCGGAGATCCCCACATTGGTGCATTTTTCAACTTCATTCCGGGACCTTGTGCGCTGGTCATTTTATGTGCAGCGTTACGCTGAGGTATCCTATATTCACGAGATTATGATTTATATCTAACACCGATATTATCAGCTCAGGGATGTTGCCCTGGGTTAACCTCTTATATTGCCACGTTGAAAACGACTTCGGTTCTGCCGTCGTTGTATTTCTCCGTTTTAACCGGTACTGCTCTCAGTATAGTTGAAGGGTGGCCTCCTTGAATGTTGTCCGTTGTGCTAACCTGGTTGAGATGAATGCACAGCTCTCGATGCGGTACTAGGTCGGGTAACTTCGTGCCTGTGGCGGTAGTCGTTGGTTTTATCTCTTCAGGCTGTATACCGAGTGTGTCAGTGCCAGTGGTCGACCGAGCCTCAAGGAGTTTCTTCCGTTGTTGATTAACACCACTGTACCGTTTGAGTCGTTCATCTTGAGTTCGGCTCCCAATGGTTTGAATACCTGCGTAAACTTAGAGAGCACACGCTGTAGTAACCATCAATTATCTTGTTGCTAGCGCCACCTACGAACAGTTTATTGTTGCTAGCGTTGATGTTAGTCCATCGTGGTAGGTAGGTTATATCGCACAGTGCTACTTCGAGTTGACCCGACGTGTTATCGATCGCGTGCGTCAGCTGAACGGCCTCGCCGCTCGTTATTCCTGGGAGTGTTATGTACATGTTATATAAACTCATTATATAATAGTTTTAAAACATGAAGATCGTGGTTAAGCTGATGGATTGTATTTCGACGCCCAGTTCATAGATGTATTCGATAAGTATAAGTTTTCGGTGACTAACGTTAAGACAGTGCACGCTTGGTTCAACAACCCGATGCAGTTCTGGCAGAATCAACTCAACTTCGCCGTGTGGTGCGCTACAACGGGGTGTGGTGTATCCGACACTTTTCGGCGTGGACCGCTGAGTCAGTCTGTGTTCACGTTTCCGCGTGTACTACCAGGTCAGGCGTATCCTCAAAGAGATCAGCTCCACTCTCACAGGAAAAAGCGTGGAATGCAGTAAACAACCAATACGATAGGCGGGCCTCTGAACGTATTTGCAACGAATTCGAATCGACACTAAAACGGATTGGCGTTTGCGGGACCGAACCACGGATTGGGTATTCCTATCGTTCACAACATGCCTCTCGTGGAAGCCAGCGAGTTGCAAGATTGGGGATACAAGTCATATCCTATCACAACAAACGAGTGGGATGACCGTTACATGGCATTCGGCGACAGCAAGGATTACCGAGTTTGGAGGTTCGAGCAGGGGTGATTGGAAAAAATTCATGTTGGAATCGAAAGGGTATACTCGTGCGGCACCGAACGCTTGAATGACTCGATTCGAACGTGCGTGTGGGCACTGTTGGGTGCGCAGACGCAAACGCGTTCCAATATACTAGGTAAGGGGACTGCTACGGCGCTCAGAAACAGTTCGTTGTCAACGTAGAGGATGCTATCAATGCTCCAGTTGATCTCCGAGTGCCATCAAACGCTACCAAGACGTGTTGGAATACGCCAGGTCGAAAGTCGACTACGTGTTCGACGTGGGACTGTACATGGCTCCGAGCGATATGCAACTGAGAATAAAAAAAGTGGTGGGCTACAACAACGAAATAATTGTAGCCACGGCGGACCAAAAGTTGAAAGTCAACCTCGATGTCAACGTCCCCGTCCAACCACCCCGACCCGGTGAAACGGGTATAGTGGCACCACCCCCGGAGCCTAGGGTTCAACCAACAGCCCCTGTGGGGTCACCCCCACACGTTCTGGAGCAGCACATCGATAATAAAACAGCAATGGTGGTTGGTGGGGTAGCTTTGGGGCTCATTTGGTTAAAAATTCCTTAGCCGCTACGTACACCAGACCCGCCACGGCGACGATGGCTGCCCACAGGTTTTGACTAAGCCACGTGGCAGTTTTAGCTAAAACACTCAGCAACCACGAGACGATGCTACCCAGGATGCCGGGTAGGGCTTCGGCGGCCTTACCAGCCAGTTTAGCCAGGGCCTCCCCGAGTTTTTTTATCCAGTTCCCATCACTTGGTGGTGTGCCGCCACTTGGGGGTGTGGGGGTACCCCCACTAAGTGACACCACCAGGGTAGATATGATGAAGCCCAATGCAGTCAAAATGCTGGCGATGGTGATCCCTTGCTCCCGGAACAGGATCCGGATCCTGTCAGCTAACGTGGTGTCTTGGTGGAGGACTCGATCAACGGTTTCCCGCACACGGCTGACCTGGGATCGAAGCTGGTCTCGGAAGGAGGATGCCGTTTCTAGCCGGGTCTTCTTTTCATCTTCCAAACTACGTATTCGTTCCTCGATGGTGGCTTTCAGAGACTCGTCCTCCGTTTCACCGAGTTTGACCTTTTCATGGGCGATGTGGTCGTCTATCGCGTCCAGTTTGGCTGTGTTGTTCACGAGATGGCCGCGAATGGTTTGCATGGCCTTGTCCAGCCCCGCGCAGTTCCCGGCGGTAAATTCGAATCGGGTAAGGGTTTGTCATGGTAGGTGGCCAACAGCTTTTCAATGTTATCAGTCATGTCTTGATCCGATGTGGCGCCCCTGATGTCTTGCAGATCTTGAAGGGGAAGGGCTTTAGGCCGTCGCCCGTAATCTATGAAGCCTAGTTCATCGCGAATAAAGTCACCTCCATGGCGACTGCCGAGTGTTGATAAAGCAAGCGGTTCTCTAGTGCGCTTATTCATGAGATCGATCTCTGGGTGAGCCCTCAATGCATGCGTGCCCTTACCATCGACAAAAACTTGGAATATTCTCGCCCCCGGCTCTCGTAATTTCTATCCTCTTTTAAACCATCGTAAAACCCGTTGGCGGCCTGCTTCACGAGTTCGTTGCCTTGCGAGAATGAGGTTTCATCATCCTCGAATGTTAGGGCACTATCATCCCACATATCATCCATAGGTATTTCTTCATGACCGCCTTCAGCCATTATTTAGTATTAAAACTTATATATTTCATTTATATAACAATGTGCGGTAGAAAACTAGATCCTTTCAGGAGATCGAGAGAGCCACTAGGTGTCAAAGCCGTCGTCAGTCGGTGACCATCACCAACAATCCCAGCAAGATAGACCAGAATCAAACGCTGCTGGTTAGATTTCCAAACCTTGGCGCGAATGACCTCATTGTACCAGGCACTGTTCGACTGGCGTTCAACATCACGTTGACCTCCGACAGCGACAAGCGAGCTAGCTAGTGCGGAGCGTAGGTCGAGCTATCATCAAGAAAACGACCATCAAGATCACGGTAGCGAGGTGCTGAGCATCGACGACAGCGGCGTGTTTCACTGCTACAAGGACCTCTGGAAGCGAGGAGAAGCGCGTCAATGGCGTGTACCAAGGTATCAATAAATCGACCAGATCGCGCGTGGGTATGCCTTCACGGCAGACCAGTTAGACAAGCTATCGGACGGTGAAAGGCCATCGCTCAAAGCGTCACGGGAACGGTTCTGCGTGCGCTCGACTTCGAGTTGCTCACGGAACAGCGCCCGTTTACCAAGCGGCGCTGGGTGATAGGCTTGAATCACGAGCTCCGCGTTTAACGACTACAGCAAAGTAGTGCGTCGCTGCCCGAGCGGCGATGAGGCTAGTTATACCATAGACAACATCTCTCTGGAGTTCGACATGGTCACTAACCGGAGCTGGCCAGGCAGGTTCGAAATCAGTACTTTCGGGTAATGTAGCCATCCTGTACGATCGCGTACTGAGACATAGATCTATCGTGCGGGATAAGAGCGACACTGTGTGGAATATCAACCTGAGCGTGCCGGCGCGATCGATGAAAGGCATCCTGGTCGTCCCGTGGAGGATTACGAACCGTTCGGAGGGACAGCGAAGTTTTCAACCCGAGATTGAAAAGGTGGAAGTGACCATTGAGGGCGTGCCCAACCAGCTGTTTAGTCATGGTATGCGTGCGTACCAGCAGTGGGATGAGATAAAAAGCTGCCGAGCAAACATCCATATATAGCCAAAGACCTGGACCTATCATCCGTGCAAATCGGTGAATACTTAACTAACAAGTGCGCTGTGGTTGGACATGCGATCCACGGATGATGATAAACTACACGGTAGCGGCCGTAGAATAGACAATGGTAGCGAAGGAATTACTATCCAGATTACCAAGAAGGCTCAACCGGCTGGCAAGTTGAAATTATATCTGTACGTTATTATGGATCGCAACTTAATATAGACAATGGGAGATTCGTGCAAGCCATTTACTGATTTGCCTGGCGGCAAGCCATCTACTGATTTGCCCGCTGACCCACACTGCGCCATAGTGTCGCGGGCAGACTGGCTGTGGGAAGACCGTTTTCGTGTTGGATATGTTGGAGGGTACTACAGGGATGTGTTCGATCACATCGTTATCATGTGCCCTACTCTGAGCATGAATAAAACGTACACGGAAAGACCTTGGTTATGACGGACCCTGGCGTACACAGAGTCGATCCGGGGCCACGTCTACAGGACTGGTTGAAAGCTTACCATATAAAAATTTAAAGAGTCGGCGTTGTTCATACTGGGCGACTGCAGCGCTAATCGCGAGATAACAAAAAGAGAGATATGCTATCGTACCTGGCATTTTCAGGCCGACCGCATAAAGCACAGCGTCTGGGTGCTAACGCAGAAGTTCAACTTCGGTGTTGAAAGACCTCAGGGAGCAGACGCGATGGGTTGCCTTATTTCACTGCAAGGACAGGGATTAGTTCGAGTGTTTGAGAGAAACGATGTGATGAGCAAATTAGAGCGAGGAGCGGTGAAGAAACAGCTAGCTGAAACTAAACCGCTAAGCTCGTGCTCAAGACAGACCAACCAGTGGCCTATAGTGTGTTTTAGCTTAGCAATGCTTAGCAATGCTTAGCAAATGCTTAGCAATGCTTAGCAAAGCTAGCTTTAGTATAAATACTTAGCATTTAGTTATAGTTATGGTATTTGAAGTGCTTTCGTCGTGTGCAACTTAACCTTTATTTCTCTGTGTTTAAACATATATCGTATATTATATAGTTAAAACTAAAACTTACTTATCACATTATAGGATGGAGTGTGAGGAATTGCTAGAGCAACTGTTGGTACCCCAATCACCACAGGTGGATGATGATAAGCGAGAGAAACTGGTGGCGTTGGCTGTTGGTGGCAAAGCCAAACATTACTTTGGGGAGTACACTCCGGATAAAATTCACAAAATGTCAGCCGAAGAAATCGATAAACTGTACGCTAAATACGAGACTAGACTAGGTTCAGAAATGACAAAGACAATAGGATCGGCTATGACCCAGATATACACTGGTATTGCGTCATACTTCCTTCCCATCCCCCCGGAGCGCCGACTTTACTTGTGGGAAGACTTAGAGAAAGACCCTTTTATCGAACACGCCTTGAGCTCTATCAGCTGCGAGCTGTATCACAAATCACGGTATGTTGTTAGCCCGGTTCACGCGGCGATTATCACAACAAAGCATTGTCAATTTGAGAGGAAAAATAATAATAATAGTATAGATGGATGCTGCACAGGAGACCCCCAAGGAGGAGACCCCTTCAGGAGGAGACCCCACCCCAACAACTGGAGGTTTCACAGGAGGTGACCCCTCCACAGTAACCAGGCAGAAGAATCCTAAAGAGAGTAGCTGCGGTAAAAACGGTGGTGTAACCAACATAAAATTATCAGGGTGACTCACCGGGCGACTCTTGTTAGTTGTATGCGCAACTGCTGCCGTGGCTATCTACGTGGTTATATACCGCGACACAGAGGAAGTGAGGGAAACCCGGAATTAAATTAGTCAACCCGCATATCATGCAATAAAATATATATTTTTATATCATATACATAATGTCTGAGGGAAAACGTTAGTCAACGGCGCATACCACGCCACCGTGGTCGCCAGTCTAGCCGTAGGATACGCTTCGGTTGACCAAAATGGTGCTTAAACAACCGACTATCAAGCTAGATTTCAACCTGCAGGATATGGGTATGCTAATAATGAACCTTGGTATGGCGATGGCCACAAAAGGACATCCTAGTAAAACAAGGAATAATACCTGAAGATATTATGAAATAAATATAAGGATGGCTACGATTGCTATGATGGTGGGTGGTGCGTTAGTGAATGCCCTGGCATTTTCGGGAGTAATTTCCTCTTCTCTAAACTACGAGAGTCACACGCGGCTGAAATACAGAGCGGAGAGGAAGCGTACGATCTACGCTATTGAGAACTTACAAATAGCACAGGCGATGCGCTAAACAAGCGCCTCCAGCGGATCGATTACATTAACGAACAACTCAGGCGTGAAAACCATGCCGTTCAAACATTCCACGATGTCGGCGGCGCTTGGCGAGACAATACTACTTATTAACTGGTAAGCGATTGGAGCCACTACAGAAGCCAACACTCACTCAGTACTACACACCATCCAAGGGACAAATGGACCGTGAACTGACCTTCATAAGCTGGGTATAGCGGCGACTGCTTTGGTTGTGAAACAATTAGACTAATACACATATAAATATGTTAACATGTACCGATGTGAATATATACTTATGGGAAGACCGAGACCTGTGGTAGGGTATCGCGGTACTCATGGGTACTGTTATTCCCACATGGGAAGTCCCAACTACTGCGTGTTCTGTGTGTGGTATAGGAGTCAAAGGACACTATTGTTTATGTAAAGCTCACGGGGCTAGCGTAGTCAGACATCACCTCATCTACGAGAATAAAAGGCCTACATAAAAGAGCGTGGCGATTTCTCAAGATAGACCCCAATTAGAGATTATTACACACTTACGTATAGATATGTTTGTGGAACTTGATCCCAGTGAAGACATCGAATCTCAGGTAAAAACATACTCAAAGATAAACTGAACTTCAGATTTCAGGTAATATTGAAAATGGTATGGATTAAAGATGGTGTTAAGTATACTTTCGTCCCTTAAGTATGTGTGGGAACATCGACTCAATATCAGATAAATTGTTTTACAAGTATATCCGGAATACCTGCTAAACTTCAAGGAATACTATATCAAACAGTGTGAGCACTGGATCGAAACAACCCATCTAAAATAGTTCATTGGGGTGTGGAGAGAGGATATATGATTTTTACATTCTGGCTGCCCAATTAGACATTAATTCCTTAGGTGTTATGCGCAATTATGAATACTATACAGTTAAATGCAGCACTGAAGCTAATAGGTAAGTATTTAAGAGGCTGGCATGCTTGGCGTTGATAGGAATATAGATGTCTCAGATATTAAGCCCTGATAGATGATAAAATAAAACAGGAACTAGCCAGTCTTGGAAGTATCAAATTTCAAATCACAATTAAAATGACACTTTCGAAAGAGCGTGGGGGATGTTACCGAGTGCGTTCAGCCTTACTTCGAGGTGTACAAGAGGTCGTGACCCAGATAGAGACTATAAACACATCGATCGATACTAGTTTTCAGCAGATACAGGAATACCTAGAGCGCTACACACACTTGGGATCGGGTGGGCTGTAGATAAAATCGATATTGTCTATCTAGACATAGCTAACTACGTGCCGTTCAAAGGCGGGTCATACCTAGACTTGCCTCCCTACTATAAGAAAAAAAAGGCCATAGTAAGCGTTAAGAATAGAGGAAGCGATTGCTTGAGATTAGCTATCAGATCAGCTTTGTTTCCAGCTGACACTCATTCAGACAGGCCTTTCTAGCTATCCCCAAGACGATGGACTCAACTGGGATGGTATAGATGAACCAACCACCATATCTCAGATCACTAAAGTAGAAAAACAGAATAATCTAGCTATAAATGTCTTTGGACACGAAGACGACACAACAATAATACACAGGCTCAGCTCGTTGGTGGGAAGGGGGAACGTTATCAATATATTCATGATCCAACGAGGTGAAAAGTATCACTACGTGGATAAAACATTTCAATCGGTTGTTGCGACCAGTCGAAACACAATGGGAAAAACACTTTTGTATCACGATGTCTGCACGGTTTCAGCCGAGCTGATTTATTAGAATCCCACCAGGAGTATTGCCAAGGTGTGGGACAGAGCGGCTATCTGCATCGACATGCCGAGGAAGGTGACAATATCCTAAAATTCTACAACCACAAGCACCAAATGTCTGTTCCTTATATCATATCGCCCGACTTTGAAGCCTTGGTCAAACCAATTAAGGTTGTTGTTGGGGCTACCCACAGGTGAGAGCTTCACATACAAAACACAAGAGCATGAAGCATGTGGGTTTGGATACATAGTAGATCCGTTGTGACGGTGAAGCGAAATCTCCGTAGTATACAGGGGTCCTGCGCGGTTGAAAGGTTTCTAAAGTGTTTGAAGGAGGAAGAAGAAATTATTAGGGAAAAGTTGCATAGAATGCGGCTCCCATGCGTATGACCCGAGCCGACAGGTTAGCTCACTCCCGTAGCATTAACTGTCACGTGTGTGACTCACCACTGAACGGTGATTCGGTGAGAGATCACTGTCACATAACCCGGTAAGTATAGAGCGCCGCTCATAGCGAGTGTAACCTCAAGCTTAGAATCAACCCTAAGACAATAAACATTCCGTTGTCTTTCACAACTTGAGAGAGTGCGACTCTCACTTAATCATGCAGGCCATCGCGAAAATCGATGGTAATATAGCGTGCATCCCCAACAACATGGAGAAATATCTCTCTTTCAGCTTAGGCGGACTTAGGTTCATTGACTCGTGTCAATTTCTATTGTCGTCATTAGCCAGCCTGATTAAAACCAACGATACCTTCCCTATCACCCGATCGATACACAGGCGCCGAGACTAGATCTCTGCTTATGAGGAAGGGTGTGTATCCCTATGAGTACATGGATAGTTGGACTAAGTTCGCGAGACCAGACTACCTCCCATCAGAGAATTTTACAGCAATCTGACAGACTTCGGAAATATCCGAAGAGCGATTACTAAATGCGCTATTAATGTATGGAATAAACTTGGTTGTAAAACCTGGGTGACTATCACGATCTGTACTTGAAGATGGATGTACTACTATTAGCCGGCGTGTTTGAGACATTTAGGAGGACATGTATCAAGCAGTATAAACTAGATCCAGCATGGTATTACACCAGCCCAGGTCTGTCGTGGGATGCCTTGCTTAAAAGACCCGGAGTTAAGTTGGAATTGCTTACTGATTATGACATGCACCTGTTCATTGAGAAAGGTTTGCGAGTGGGATCTCCATGGCAACCAAGCGATACGCTAAAGCAAATAATCAATACGTGAATGGCTCGACCCTAGCAAACCAACCAATCACATTCTCTATCTCGGCGCCAAATAACCTGTATGCGGATGGGCCATGAGTCAGTATCTACCAACAGGGGATTCAAATGGGTATCATCCGATTTCGATATTATGAGCATCGGCGGATTCGAACAAAGGTTATATCCTCGAGGTTGACTTGGAATATCCCAAGGCATTACACGAATCACACAACAGCTACCCCTAGCTCGAGCGTATGAGGGTTAACCCAACTGGATGTCTGAATACCAACATAACTTGTTAGATAGGCGGTGTGGGGCGTTGAAAAACTTCGTGCCTAACTTAATGAATAAGACCAAATACATAGTTCACTATCGCAACCTGCAGCTGTACCTGTCGTTGGGTATGAAACTGACCAAAATACACAGAGTGCTGAAGTTTCAACCAGAGCCCCTGGATGGAGCCTTACATCAGAATGAACCGCGGACCTCCGGCTGCTGCCACCAGTGACTTTGAGAAAAACTTGTATAAGCTCATGAACAACTCGGTATTCGGTAAGGCGATGGAGAACCTGAGGAAGCGGCGTGGGCGTGAAGCTGGTTCGGTCGAATGAGGAGGAAAAACTCAGGAAGCTGATCGCTAACCCTGCATTCAACCGTAGTAAGATATTCGATAACGACCTGGCTGCC